AATTGACTGATACACTTTGAGTTGTCATCGTTTTTCTCCATCAACGATACGATGTCAGGTCTGATAACGTTCTTGTGTATATATTTCATACATGCTAAATGACGAGCTCAACTACAGCCCATAGTGATTTAATATCCATAAATGAATATTGAAGTGCAATCCAGATGTAAACAAAGCAAACTTGTGCAGTGCTGCACATGTCGGCTAAAGAATGTCTCAAGTGAAATAAACACCTTTTAAGGATTAGCTAAGAACACAAGATGGAAATTCGTACTGCTAAACGCAAAGGACATTACCATGGTAAATTTCTCGCCTGAGGTTGTGCTTTACTTGTTGATGCCATCCTCTTGTATTTTGTTCAATCAGCCCCGCGATGTGCTTTGGCGCGTTTTCATTTTCTCCTTCTTCTTCTTTTTGTTCAATGGCCGTTCACTCCTTAGGAGTATTACCGCCACCTACTGTATATCTTGCGCACATGGGTGATGAATCTGTATGTACAGGTGCATCTCAATAAATTAGAATGTCGTGGAAAAGTTCATTTATTTCAGTAATTCAACTCAAATTGTGAAACTAATATATATTTTTTTACCAGTATGTGTGTTCTCTGGGAATTGAACCCATGATCTTTTGCTATGCTAACGCAATGCTCAACCACTGAGTCACAGGCAAGATCAGTCACAAGATCCTTAATCTTCCTTTCTGTGACTTCCATAAAACTGTTCTTTTTTACACTGTACAGCCACAATACTAAAACGTATTCAGGCTTGATATACACGTAACAGTTTACTTTTTCTTGCTCCCCATTCATACTTAGCTATTGAAGTCATGCAATTTATTACTCCTTTGCATTTGTTTTCAAATTTCTTAATATATCACTTCCAAGTTAATTTCTCATCAAAGATTAATCCAAGATATTTGAACTCTGTCACTCTTTCTAACAATTGGTCATATCATTTCAGTGTCATTTGTTCCATTTTCTTTTTCTTTGTAAAAACCATATATTGAGTCTTTGATACCGAAAACTTCAATCCCCAATCTACACCTTTCAAGTTCATTTATTGATTATTGTATTCCTTTAACTACATTTCCTAAATTCCTACCTCTTTTTCATACTGCACCATCATCTGCATATAATGCCTTTCCAATGCTTGGTTTAACTCTTTCAAATATATCATTAATCAAATTAAATAAAATTGGACTGATTACACTTCCTTGTGGAGTCCCATTCAGGATATCATACGATGCTGACATTTCTTCACCTATTCTTACCTAGAATGTACGCTCAAACAAAAAAAATCTAATATCCAATTATTCATTCTCCCCCCATTCCAATTTTATCTAAATTAATTAAAGGGGTCATAGGATGCCCATTTTCCACAAGTTGCTATGATTCTTTAGGGTCTTAATGAAAAGTCTGCAACATAGTTTGGTTAAAATTTCTCAATAGTAGTGTAAAAAACACCTTTTTTACCCTGTCAAAAACAGCTCTTTTCAGATCAAGCCGTTTTTGTAGCATTTCCCTTTAAATGTTAATGAGCTCTGCTGACCCTGCCCCTCTCTTCCGAGCTGCTCTCAGAGAGACTGTTTACTTTAGCTGCATTCATCCTGAAACTTGCTAATTAGCACATTATTAGGAAAGGCGATTTGCAAAGATTCATTACAAAACATTATGCTCACTTCTTCTGTAGATGAGGCTGGATCGTTAATGATTCGCACGAACATAGACGCATGTATGTAGATCGGGGGCGCATTCCCTTCAGAAACAATGTAATCCACTGCGAGTTCAGCGGCTCAGATGTCGGGAGTAAATGACGACTGCTATGTTCATTATTACATCCAACAACAGAACACCTCATTCTTGTCTACATCTGCTGCAACAATGGGACTGATCACACTGATGACAGCTCACTCAGGGCGGGTCTGAGGTAAGACGCCAGTCCAGTCTGTGCTGAAACCCTACTGTCAATCAAACTATCGTGGGAGGGGCCTGTCTGTGTGACGTCACACAGACAGGCATCTGAGATCGGCTTGATTTGAGAAAGGGGAAAACATTTAACCAGATTAAAAAAAAAACACCGGGTGAATTTTTATCATTATAGGGTGGTTGTGTACACACACTGCCAACACACATTTCAGTTCAAACAACTTGTAAAAGTGCATGTAGCATTATATGACCCCTTTAACAGTCCCTCCCTCCATAAAGTGTCATATGCCTTTTCAATGTCAAAGAAAACAGCAACAATAATTGTTTTCATTATTAGAGCTTTTTAAACATAATTTTCAAATAATATCAGAGCATCCATTGTAGATCTTTTCTTCCTAAAACCACTCTGAGCTGATGATAATATTTCTTTTTTCTCCAAAAAATTATTCAACCTTCTTACTATCATTTTCTCCATTACCTTGCATAGTGTAGATGTAAGAGCAATTGGCCTACAACTATTGGATTTTGTTGCATCTTTACCTGGTTTCACTACTGGTATCACTATTGCACTTTTCCAATCTTTGGGCAAGGTGCCTTCATTTCATATATGATTATATAAATCCAATAATGCTTTAATGGCTACGTGTGGTACATTTTTTAACATACTGTAACTGATCATGTCTCTCCCTGGCGTTGTATTCTTTGAATTGTTAATGGCCATTTTTAACTCAAAAAAAATTAAAATCCTCATATTATTATCAACTCCTTGTTTTTTTCCTACAAACATTCTCGTATATTTTACTTAGTTCTTGTCTTCTTTTTAAGAACTCTTTTTAAGAGTTTTCAATACTGTGAATTTGAGCAAAAGTTTTACCTAAGACTTCTTTACTCGTTATGGCCATTTTCTCTTCCTCTTCAGTTACACTCTTAAAAATAAAGGTGCTTCAAAAGGTTCTTCAAGCGATGCCATAGAAGAACCATTTTGGTTCCACAAAGAACCATTCAGTCAAAGGTTCTTTAAAGAACCATCTCTTTCTTACCTTTTTATAATCTGAAGAACCTTCTTTCGCCACAA